TCCGATACTTCCAATTCTTCATGAACTTGCCGAAAGCAAGGAGGGCGAGCACTGAGCAGAGCTGTCCAACGGTCCCCAGTACTGAGCCATAGAAAACGTCGGAGAAATGCGGTCCAGCGGGATACATGGTAGCGTCGTTGGTGTAGAAGTAGATCGCGGGACCCCCAACTGTGGCAATGGTAATTTGCGATATCGCATTGAACAACATCAACTTTCCGATCACTGGCCTCACCACAATGAATGCGAAACCAGTGAGAAAAATCGTGGACGAGATGGCGGTCACGAAAGCGACCGTATTAGAGGCAGCGACCAAGTTAATGATAGAATAAACCACGGCCGTAACTCCAACCACAACCGAAAGAACGGCGACAGTCGTTTGCTTGCCCCACAAATGCTTACGATGAGCTCTGGACTCTTCTTTGGTCACCCGCTTCTCCTCGAAGAAGTTGAGCCCCGCGGGTATGATAACAGTAGCAGATGTGAAGATTGTAGTCAGAATTGCCCACTGTGCACCACCAAGGCTCCAAACTCCATCAGCGTGCTCAACAATGAAGCCGACGAGCAGCACCGCGACGAGACCCAATAGTTGGTTCCCAGTCCAAACGTAGCTTACTAGGGCCGGTCCCGATCCGGGAACACCAGCTAAACGCCGAGAGTATACCGCCTCAGCAAGCAGGTCATACCCCATCAGCTGAAGGTTCGCCATGAAAAGCCCAACCGTCCCAATCGGCGCATTGCTCTCGACTAGGTCTAGAGACACTGCCAGGATGGTGCCGGCTAGGCCAAGGGTGCTTAGGATCATCATATAAGGGAGCTTGTGGTACCCAAACATGGGGAGAGAGTCGGAGATCACACCGAGCCAAGGCTTCATCGCCCAAGGCATGAAAACCACTGAGGCATATCGGTCAATATCTGGGCCACTCACATTCATGGACCGAAAATAGAACGAAATACTGGAATACAGCACGAGGTAACTGTAACCCTTGGCCCAGTGATTGGTGAAGTGTAGCATGAGGATAAGTTTCCATCCAAAGTCCTTACATAACATATGGATTGCACTAACAAAGGGAACTCTCTCTATGAGGAGTCCCTTAGCTGTCGTGCCATAGCGGGACCAGCCGGAGGGGAGGCATGGTTGCAACGAGGGTTCAAGTTATGAGCTACAATTGGCAAGAATAGGCCATACATGACGATGCCTCCCACTGTTGGTTCTATCCTCTAGCGAGGAGTCATTGAGAACAAGACTTACCTCATGCGTCGCATGGCCTCGACGAAAGTAAGAGGTTTGCACACTGTGTGACGCACAGTATCGCTGCCGAATCTGTGTTCGCATGAACCTTTTCGGATCTGTGAAGAGCTCTGCCCTTGTTATCGATTCACCAGGAGAGATTGAGTATGAGGCGGGCCGATTGACGGGCTATATTTGATCGCACGTGAGTACAAAGCGGAGCAGAGCCTCAATTAGATCGTGTTTGGCTGCTCAACAGTGGTGGGTGCTGGCAATCCCATCTTGGGATGCAAGCTGGACTAGCTCAATGGATAGTGTGGTCCATCTTGCATCACACGTGGCAGCGTGTTTCGAAAACAACAAGTCTGGGATGGTCTACGAGCCGCCGGAGTCGGAGGTAATGATCAGACAACTATGGTGCGGAGTAGCGCGCATGCGTTCCCGTATTGTACCGGTGTTTAAAGACCGTTCTCTCAATTCGAGTGACATCTGTCCGTCAACCGGACAGTTGGTTGGGAGTGTGGGAGAGAACCAAACACTGTAAAACCGAAGCCCGAACCCTCTCTGGGTCTTACCATGGGCCAAAGGTTCACAGAATATGTTTCGTCACACCAACTATATCACGGAATATGGCCCATGTCTCCTGACATATGTGAGTGTCCCTCAACCAATAGGGGTCGGCATCGAGCTTTTTGTAGAG